CAAACTATTTACATACAGAGACAGAAATAAAAAGGACCTCGCTTGGAACGTGGAAGAGCCTCAGGGAACAAAATGTAGGAGAAGAGGAAGGAGGGCATTCTGCGTTTCCTGCAGAGCCTGCTGCCTCATTTTTTTTAAAGCCTACTGTGGGCTGTGGGGGTCCGATTGTTCCAAATTTAGCACAACGGTGCTGTTTTCCATCGCCAATTTGTACATTTTAAATTTTATAATTTCTTTTGTATGAGGCGGCATGCTCTGCAGAAAAGGCAGAAGGCTGAGGAGGAAGTGCTCATCAGCAGACTGTGGTGGTGGTGGGGCTGGAGGACGCCTCAGGAGCTCGAGCAGCGTCTGCTCCACCTCCGACGGACCATCACGGGGACGCCGGGTGCCTCTCCTCCTCTGTTGGCCTGTGAAATCAAAAATACAACACACATTAAATATAAATAAATATATATATATATATATATATATACTGTATATTAAACAAACACTTTTATTTTATTTTCACAATGACAGCACTAACAGCACTAATATATAGTATAATTTTGAGAAACACTGACACTGTGAAACACTGGCTTTGCAATAAATATATACTGTATATTAAACAAACACTTTTATTTTATTTTCACAATTAATTGTTTGACAGCACTAATATATAGTATAATTTTGAGAAACACTGACACTGTGAAACACTGGCTTTGCCATTACAGAAATAAATATATTTTAAAATATATAATTGGAAAAGGAAACCAGTTAATTAAAATTGTAATAATATTTCACAGTATTACTGTTTTATTGTATTTTTAATAAATATAAATGCAGCCTTGATGAGCATAGGAGACTTCATACTGACCCCAAACTTTTTCACCAGCAGTGAATATATCAAGATGTTTGTCAGTGTGCATGTGTACCTTCTAAGCTTCTGCGCCTCCTCCAGTCACAACACTGTCTGAAATGGCTCTGCCGCATTTTGTTGGGGTGCAACCTGAGGACAGAATTCATTAGCCTTTCATATCGATTCATTAATTATGACAGCGATTAAAGTTACTGGCTCTATGCCCATGCCAAATTCTCTCTTCAAACTTAATATTCGATGGCACACTCAGCGACGCAGCCTGCCCTGCGAAATGTACTGCATAATGACTCTGGAGTTTGTTCCAGCATCCTCTCAGAGAGGAGGTGCTGTCAGTCAGGCAATACTCACAGTGGGGTGTTCAATTGACAACAAAGCTGTACATCCAATCATATTCCACAGTATATAGCATTCTGGCACAAATTCATATGCCACTTGCTAGAATCCAGTAGGAATTCTTGGAGGAATTCGAAAGACCACAAACAGCTACAGTTAGCTTCAGGACAATATATTTTCTCTCTTTCCATTCTCTTTCCCAAAGCTTATTTACGCCTGTCGTAAAGAGAGTGGGATGAAGTGGAGCCAAGGGAGTGCTTGTTAATCCCAGCGCTTGCTTTGTTCATGGTGCCTACAGCTTTTTGAAGCTGGTGTGAGGTTCTGTAATGAGTCGTATGTGGGAGGCTTCAGACTGTCAATCACAGATCTGGCCTCCCACCAATTATCTAACTTCATGATTTAGACCGATGGAATGCACAGGTGTTGACTTTGTTCAACTAAAGCTTTCTACTCCTGGAAGTTGTTTGGAAACGGGTTTCCTCTGATCCAACAGTGCATTTTAGTTCAAAGGTTGCCCCAGTTATATTACACAGAGTTTTTGGAACAAAGATACAAATAGCAAAATAATAGCTGGATGCATCTTAACCAATGCACTTACACACACTCACACTCAAAAAATTATTCTCTAGCTTGCTTAATAATCTGGCATTATGTACTACGAATATTGTTTGACAAATTGTTTTGTTCCTCTTATTTTAAGTCACTTTGCATACAAGTATCTGCTAAATGCATCAAAATAAATGTTAGACCCACCATCCACAAACATAAGCTATTACCATACAGTGATCAGTCAAAGAGACCACATCCAATATGCACAAACTAAATTAGTATGTAGAGTACAACATTTTTTGTTAAGGAAAAAATTATGTAATGTTTTATAAACAATTATCTTCACATGCACATAGTAAACCAGGCAACTGACTGAATAATCAGTCTAATAGATTACCTGTTTTTCATTTAAAGGAGAATGTAGTTTACATCAATACAAAGTAAAATATTTTCACAAACTTCTGGCAATAATTGTGCTTAAGAGGAAAAATCTTAATTTATATTTTATAAAATAATACATGTATTATTACATTTTTTTCTATAAAATTAACAAGCAATAGAAGCAAATGCTGTTTAAATGTCACTGTTAAAATCTATAAAATACTTGCAAGATGTCAAAATAATTGTATATATACATCATACTATAAAAATTAACTATTGCATTTTTTTTTAAATAAAAGTAACAAGCAACACAGGTAAATAAATTTTAAATGCCACTTTCAAAAACCATAAATATACTGGCAAGGTAGCAAAAGACCAATTACGTTCAATATGCAAATATTACAAAAACATTGTTAAAAGGTCTATCAGTTTAAATCAACATGCAATTTTGAAAAATCCCTATAACATTTCTAAAAAACAAAAATACAAACCATACCAAACACAACAATAATAATAATAATAGTATATAATAAACAATAAAACAATAATAATAGTAATTTCCAGTAAATACTCCAGTATTGAGTGAGTGGACTTCAATGAATGGATGCATACCTGGGAAGAGCTTGTACTTCATGTAGTCTTCAGAGCACTCAACTGTGAACACTCTAGGCTGAGTGAAGATCTCGCTTCTTGAAACCAATGTGTGTGTCAAGTCATCAGACCATGTGAAATACATCCAGCGCACTAGTCCAGTGACTCCTGTCAGCAGCAACAGCGTGATCACGTTACCTCTCCAAGAGGAGGCCTGTCTCTGCGCATTTCCCCTGAATCAACACACACCATATGAATACAGAACACAGGTGCGATGGACTGTCAGGTGTGCATTGCTTAGTTTCATCCATTCATTTGACTGCCAGATTACACAACGAAATGAAAAAGTGAAATATACATTTATTCTGACATCATGTAGGGAGTATTTTGCATGTAAACAAGTATCTGGAGCAGCATCACTCATTAATCGCGGCAATGCAAAGTCAATGTGGGTTCATAAAGTTTCAGAAATTAAAAATCATTAACGTTACCTCTTAATTTTATTTTCAATGGCGCTACTTTCTGGGTTTTTACTGATTCCTCGTCGCTGTGCAGTCATGTTTATTAATTATACCTGCATGCGTGCATCAATATGTATGGTTTCGTTTCATTCAGTGTGTGTCTACTGCAGAGGTCGGGAACCTATGGCTCGCGAGCCACACCTGGCTCTTTGACAAAAATAATGTGGCTCGCCAGATCTCTATGGTAACGTACAGCTCCTGCACTCAGATTCGTAGCTTTGTGGTAATAGCGAAAAGAAAGATTTTTCGAACAGCAGAAAAAGTGTAAAAGTATGTAAAAAAAAAGTGACAGGACTGAAACATATACTTTGATTTATATGTTTTATACTTTGAAGCATTTCGCCGGTTACTTGGATCACTAAAGATGGACGACATGGACAGCAATCAGAGTGAGTAACTTTGCCGATTTTCAATTAAGTTTTATTTTATAACTTTAAAACGATGCCAAATTTACGTAGCCAACGTGATAACTGCTAAGAAATAATAATGAATTCCCGATTGCTAGTTTTATTGATTATTACGATGTTTTTAATTCGTGGCCATGATTTAATTAAGCTAAACCTTGTTGACATAATGACTACAATAAGTAAATCTAGCCAGCACATTAATTAAACTTAAAAAGATGATAAAAGCATGTTGATGTGAGATGTGTCAGATTTACCTGTAGCTTACAGTATTAGTGTGAAAACTTGTTTGATACTTATTGTTTTAGCATATTAGTTAAGTATAAATCATCTTTCGTAATTAAACTGGGCTCATTGCTTGGTTGCACCACAATATGTGTTATTAGCCTGTCCTTTTGGCAGTACTTTAGATTAATCTGGTTGATGTTTGAAAGGCATGGTCAGCGGTTTGCCTTCTTAATTTAGTGACTGCAAATGCTGATTTCATTTGATTCCATCTTTATTATACCTGATAATGAGCTAGTTAAACTTAAGGGGGCTAATCAATTTACAGTATATTTCAAGAAACTAAGACTTAAGGTACTCCACTTTTTCAGTTGTTTAAAGACTGAAATACATTTTTCATTTATATTTTAAGTGTAAATTCATTTAAATTTAAAATTGTTAACTCAAAGCAGGTATTACACACTTTGTAATTAACATCTGATGCATTTATAAATCAAAAATCACAATTGAAATAAAAAAAATGTTCCTGAGATTCAGTATCTTTAACAACAATGTACAAACATTACTACAAACTAAACCACCAGGGTCCCAGAAATGCGGTCCTGAAACTGCACCCTTCTCGCCATATACAAGAACGTCGTGTCAAACACTGGACATTTAGTGTGTCAAAATAAAAGTCTTTTAGACAGAACAATATTTCAAATGTTATTTCTGGATGCTACTGGATGTAAAGTGTAACAGTTATTCATATAATTGATTCGAATTACTGAATCTATATTCGAAAGTTAAAAAAATAAATATTTCAGGAGTTTGTGGTTTTCATGTAATATTTTATTTTTCAAAAAAAAAAAAAAAAACACTTTCCAAAGTGTTTAATGTCTCACTAAATTCTCAATGTCAATGATCAATGCTAAATCGTCACTACAACTCAATCACAATCACATGCAGGAAGCTCTCAAATCAACACTGGACTTCAAAAAGTCATTTAAAAATATCATTCTCCCACAAGAATTTACTTTTTTGTTGTTGAATATTTATAATTGCACACTAAACAGAATAAATGAAAACATAAATTATTTTTTCCAAAGGATGTGTGAACGTATACATTTACAGGAAAACAATGAGTTTTAAAAAAAAATGTACAAAACATTGAATTTTAAAACAATATTGATGGTATTTAACTTATACAATAGTCTACTGCCGGCAAACTAGAAATGGAGTTTGCATTGAGATACTGATCTGAAAAGATCAGAAAAAACAACAAACAAATGAACAAAAAAGAATAAACTTCAGTGCAGACATAAATGTGTGTTGGGGAAAAGGTTATTTTAATCAAAGAGGACTAAAACCTTTGTAGGATTGGGCCGTTTAATATAACCACCCTACTTGGCAAACAGTACACTGTAAATACAAAACTGTAAAGACGGTATAATGCAAAAAGTAAACGGAAAACAATACTCGATCGTACGAACTTAGAAAATAATTTTCTAGTGTGTGTGGTAATATGATTGGCAACTGTGCTTATTACAGAGCCTCTTCCTTACAGCCAAGTTCTTTTGAATCTCTCATCTATTAACAATCATTTAGAATGTGCATCCATAAAATGAAGAAAAAAGGAAAAAGATATGCACTACTGCAAACAACCGATGAACCGCAGATAACCGAAACCCAAGAGTCTGTATCACAAAGTTGCTGTAATTAAAAAACTTTCAATGTAGAAGAGCTATACAGTTCTATATGACATTTTAGGATTTTATTGTAGTTGTACAACATTCCCTGATGGCCTGTGTTGGCCGTTGAGAGATACAGAGAAGAACAAAAATTCAGAGGATCAGAAAGATGAAATTGTCCACTTGAAAGAAAAGAAACATTAAAAACTTTCAACTGGGGAACAAGTAGATCTTGCTCAATGTTGTCCCTTTTTGCTGTGAGAAAAAAGTTCCACATGTTGGCCATACACACATACACACAGGCAAACTCACACGCATACAACCATTTCACGCAGCAGCAGCCTCTGACGCTTACTCTGCGGGAAAGAAACATGAAGATACACTTAGAAAATCAAACAGATTCAGATTACAGAATTACAGATAAACATTTAACCATATTTCATAACAAACATGGATGTTTAGAGAGCAAAATATTTGTGTGTGCATTTTATTTTTTTAAAGTTCCTCACCTATGTTAACTTCTTAGCCTTGTTGTACAGTGAATCCACAACTTTGCTCATGTTCTGTATGGTTTCTAGAGCTGCCTCGTAAGTCTTGTCCACAGGGGGCTCTTCGAATATGATGAGCACTCCTTCACCTTGGTCAAGAATGCCTGTAACAGTAGAAGTCCATCAGGCAAATGAATTCAAGATATTTGGGGGATTTTGCCACTTTCATTAGATTTAGTTACATGCTGTAGAGGAGCAGGAAATTATTAGGTGACTTCAGTCATGAATAACTGTTATTATTGGTTTATAAACTCCTAAAGAGGCCATTTAATGCTTTTTAATACTTTCCTTTAATGTGTAATGTGTCTATTAGGGCATGTATAAGGCCCCCACAAAGGGGATTTATTCTCTCTAACAGAGAACACCGCTTAAACAAAAGACTGAAGTCTAGATATTACTTCCACAAACGTCTACATAGCAATTTGAAAAATTAGCATAATGCCCACTCAAAGTCATATGCAAAGAAAGAGGGCAAGGCTTTACAAAATAAAAACTTACCACTATGAAACGGTTTACTTAAGACAATCTACATTTTCAAAATCTGACTTGGGCTCGAAATAATATGGTAAAACCAATGCTATAATTAACGGTTTGTGTTTGCAACTGCTTTGGAAGCCTCAGACGCTGATTGTGGTAATGGACGTCATACATGCTTGATATGTATGGCCAATCACAATGCACTGGGTCAGCTGTCCAATCAGGGCACTCTGGGCTTTTCGGCATGGAGAAACATTGTACAAACCGGAACTCAATTAGAACATACTTCACGTTAACCTATTCTAGTACAACCAAAACAAAATAATGACCCTTTAAAATAGCATCATATGGCCTCTTTAAAATGAGGGAATTAAATCAGTGCTGTGGTGTCATGGTTATCAATGCCATGCTCAACAGTCGAAACAAATATATTATTAAAAACTAATTTATATTATATATAACATTTTATAATAATAAAAAAAAAAAAAGACAAACCATGAAATTTTTTGTCCAGGATCATTTGTGACAGTTTCCTCTCAACATCATCCTGTGGGAAACAAAACAAATAACAGAAAGAGATGTATATTTTAGTGATCATGTATACATGGTAATATAGTCAATGTTCATTTCATAACTTATCAATTTGTTGTTATTTTGTGGTGGCATTGAAGGCTGCAATCCTGTGTCATTATGATTAAAGCTAATAACAGTTTTAAAGCTATAAACCATCCACTTGTCATGACATATTGACCATCCAATAATACTGTTTCCATGTCTAAGCCTCTAATCTGTTTCTGAACACTACCTGAACAGCCGTTTATGAGCACAGTTCATTTATATCACACCTTCAAGCTGAGCTTTTAAAAACATGATTTATTTTGATAGTACTACAGCGTACCATTAGTGTATAATAGAGCTATTTGTTGTTTGCTTTTGACATCTGAAGGAGCATTTGGACCTGGAAACAGTGATGCATGACCTCTGGATAAAAGCTTATGAACAGAAGAAAACAGTTCGTACCTTTGAAAGTTTGATGAGGCCTGCTATATGTGTTATCTTGAAAATAGAGAAAAGGGGGATGGGGGCATAAAAAGGTTGTAAGCTTTGGTTCTTTGTAAATTAAGTCTTCAAAAACATAACATTAAAAAAAAAAAAAAAGATACACTTTAGGATGAAAACATCCATGCACACACTACCTGTACTCTGGAAAAGGGCTCAATGACCCGAATGAGATTCTGTTCCAGCAAATTGTCATAAAGCTTGGCCAAATGTGTGTTGATGATGGGGTCGTCCCTCAGCTCTTTAGTGTACTCTGTCAGGGCCTTCATGTGTGAAAGAGCAAGCAGAAAGCTGAGCATGACATCAAAGACTTCAATTAAAAATGTATACAGACAGTCAAAATCTCACCTTTTCAAAATCTGCTAATGATCTGTTCTTGCTGGCTTGTGCTATACATCTCAGTGCATCGGTCTGATGGAGAAAAAATTACAGGGCACAACTATAAATGAGCACTTGCTCAGAAAAAAAAAGTCAAATGTGTAGCAGGTTGTTAAAAGCAAACATAAAAGCATGGCGCACAAAGAACCGTGAAGTGCTGCTGCAGAGCATTTGTTTAGAAGTAGTAATTTCATCTATAAAAACCTCACCTGTCGCCCTGCATATCGCAGAGCCAGTTTGCCACTGATCAAGGCCTGTACCTCCTCTGGCCTGGAAGAAAAGAAATTAATACTTTTATTCAGCAGGGATGCATTGTATTGATCAAAAGTGACAGTAAAGACATTTATAAGGTTCATGGATGATACCTGGAGTACAAGGGTGAAACGGTCACATAGCAATAAGAAACACACTTCCGATTTCAAACGCACTTGCAAATCACTAAACTGAGAAGTGAGACTTGCCTGACTGCATATCAAGAGCCGCTTGGAGCTTTGGGGGACAGTAAATGGCATTGGCGGTGGTTCTGGCTGAGGTGAGGGCAGCCCTGGCTTTGGGAAGGTTGCTGAGAGCGTGGAAGGTTTTACTCTCCAGCAGCTGAACCTCCACCAGCAGAGCTTTATCATCCATCTTCTTCAGCTCCTGTAGCAATTGGGAACCTAAAGAGAAAGAACAGAGATTGTCATCTTAAAGTTTCAAGCACATCAAAAGTACTAGAGTGTACAACAAAAACACAGAGGGATCCAAACGACAGAGTACACTAGTGAGGATGCTTTTATTTTGCAATTTTCTAATTAAAATTGCAAATCGTAATTTGTGCAAAAAAGTAAAAAAAAAAAAAAATTTGATTTTCAGAATTTCTTAGTATTTGGCTCAGATGTTTGAATCCCACTACATGTACACATTTATTTTTCTACATCATTCTTACCCAAATGAAGGGCTTCCTGATATCTCATTGTGTCAAAGTAGAGTGAAATGAGTCGAGCCTGATGAAAAAAAAAGAAGGAATAATGATAAACTATATTGTTGTCTACTGCTAGTTAATTAAATTAATTAATTTAGTTAAGAATATTTTTAAATGTCATGATAGCAATATTATTATTCAATTTAAAATAAATGTTCTTTTAAACCTTCTATTAATCAAAGAATCCTGAAAAAAAGTTTCATGGTTTCCACAAAAATATTAAGCAACACAACTGTTTTCAACATTGATAATAAGAAATGTTTTTGAGCAACAAATCAGCATATTAGAATGATTTCTGAAGGATGGTGTGACACTGAAGACTTCCATCACAGGAATAAATGACATATTACAATCTGTACATTTTAAGATAAAATAATATTTCACAAAATTACTGCTTTTACTGTATTTTTCTATCAAAAGTTCAGCCTTGGTGAGATGTAAGAGAGGGGAAAAACATATGGAATAATGATTAACTCTTTTGCTGTCTACTGCTAGTAATTTTAATGTATAAATTAAGAAATAAAAAAAAATGACTGTTATTATAACGGCATAATAAAAGTAGCAAGCCACAAAAGGACAAAAATTACAGATTTACTTTGTTTTATTATTAGACAATGAAAAGCTGTGGCAAAAACAATGAAACACATGGAGTGGCTTATTGCTTTTATAAGCTCACCGTTTTAAGGTTTTATATTAATTTGGCGTAGTAATATACAATTCACCTGATATCAGTTCAGTTCAGCATAAATAGGTTCTTTTATGGCATCCACTCAGATCTTAGTTGGAACTACCCATTTTATATTAATTACTGATCCATGATTAATTATTGGCTGATTGAGATGACAGTCCAAAGCTGTTTATGCAAATTTAGTTTACCTCTAGGGCTTGTCTGAGGAAGGTTCTTTTCTCAGCTTTAGCCCATTCGATGCATTCCAGGCACAGCTCAACCTCCTGGCCCGTGGCAGCCTCCATGTCCAGAAATAGATCCAGGAGAGAGCGCACCAACCGTGCTGCCTTTGCCTTGCTTATGGAGATCAGGAAAGGCCTTACAAATTTCAGCAGGCCACCAAGCTCTAAAGTAACATGCAATGATAATGATGTGTCACAACAAAGTAAAACATTTCTATAGCAGGAACAGCATCCCCCCAGAATGTTGATCCCAACCTGCAGCTTGTCCCGTCTTCGCCAGGAGAGTGCCCAACTCCAGGATGCTCTGCTCCTTGACACGAACCGCCTCTTCATCATCTTCCTGGACATCTCGTCTCACTGAAAAATCCAGACAAAGTGAGAATACAAAGTTTAGTAACTAAGGCCAACAACCTTTTATAAACTCTCCCATCAATATAAATGAATTGACCTGAATATTGTAAATATTTTATTATTTAATATAACGTATGCTGCTGTTGCAATTAAAATTATTAAATAGTAAATACAAAATTAGTAATATAATACAACATTTTAAATGACAAACAAAAATACATCAAGTGTGTTAGATAATGACTGTATGTATAACTGATGTAAATTTAAAACATTTGTAAATAGCACATTCAAGAAACAAGTAAGCAACCATTTATGTCTTAATAATCTCATGTGAGTGTAAACGATTTTAATTATATGTATCAAAATAGCTGTTTAATTGAGGGGGAAAAAGCTAATTAGTGAATTTACCTTTATAGATAAAGTGTGTAATTTCTGCTGACCCTTCTAATGACTTTCAACAGCTTTCCCTGAACACTCCCCCCATCAGCCATTGGTAGAACAACACATATTCCCGCCCCCAAACTCCTGCTATTGGCTGTGTCATTGTTGGGCTTGTCAGGGTGCTCAAAATAAAAGTAATGTTTTGACAACGTCGGTGTTTTTCGGGAAAATCAACCTACAAATTGCTTGCTTATAGCTGTCTCTGTGCATTTATCTGGGTTGAATACTTTAAAGTCTAAAAGTATAAATTTAACCTTTAAGAGTAACTTGCGTAATAATAACCAAGTTCCTATTCCTAATTATCTCATTTAATCTAAATTTGAAACCAACTTGTCATTATGTTACTCATAAGAAAAAGACGAAAACAAGAATCAGGTTGACATGAAAGAAACTTAACAGGTTTTGGAGACGACAAAAACAAACATAAGATGGCACATAATCGGCACAAGTTTTAATTAGTCAAAAAACAACCGCTTTAACTCTACCAAACTAGTTATTTAATCTAAGACTGCTCGTTATGCCCTAATTAGCAAGCCCATTTATTTAATAAAAAATAATTATGATTTCAGCAGACAAACAGAGAAAGAAACAAATCTCAGTTAATGTCACGACAGCAAAAACAGAAATGTCAAAGCTTGCTTTAAGGTTGGTATGAAAAACGTCAATAAAGTTAAGATTGTCAAAATACGCCAATCTCAAAATAAATTGTCATCAGTGGAGCTATAATTAATAATACAAAATTAAAATAATTCCCAACTATATGTGATAAAATGTGCCTTGGCCTGGAAGGGTGGCTAATATTGCAGGCTAACTGTCCGTACACACTGGTTGTGTCTCAAAACGTTGTGAGCTGCCTAGTTAGACAGTTTTTAGCGAATCGGAGGTGCGTTCGAACGTTCGGTTCAAATGTTAAAGCACGCACAAGAAGCCCAAACAGCTGTCTTTGTTCTATGCTCGATTCGAACTTCCGAACGCGGCAATAAGGTCCAAATATGCTGCCTATGGAGGCAGCTCACTGGGTTTTGAGACGCGCGCACGCACACAGTACAGTGAGTCAGCACCGGCTCATGGCTCCCCAGCCTTCCTAATAATGAAGCATTAAAGTAGCCATGCAGAGTGAAAAGTAAAGTTTTATCAAAGAATCTAAAGACAGTTTTACCTATTGAATGTAAAATGTCAATAGAAGCGTTTCTGTCTGTGCTGATGAGAGACTGAGCTCTCTGAAACTCCACCACTGCCACGGCTGCCATCTTCCCTATTCAAAAATCTCACTACCCACAAGCACTTGCGAGCCCAACCGGAAAGGCGTCAATACGTACGCGCGTGTGTGCCTGCGGTGGCAGTTTGGGTTTTGTAGTATTTTTCGCTTTTACTTTTCTAGTGCACTACTGAGTACTAAAACATTTATATCTCAAATATCGCAATATTATTCTAAATTCTGTTATTATTACTATTACTTTATTAAGACTACTACTTAATTTCGTAGGCTACCATGCTGCTCAGAGAATTTCTACAGTTTTATTGATTTATTTTTTTTTGTTATTATTGATTTATTTATTTATTTTAATGGTCAGCAGGTGGTGACAAAGACCCCGATGCTGAAATAAATGCTGCTATAAATAAGGTAGCCTAGTGTATGGTTATCCTTATGCCATTGACCATCCTGCCTGTTTATGGGTGAAATCTGTGTGCTTCTGCTGAATGAATACACATACCCTGCTAACAAGGAACGATTAAGTAATTTGGCTAACGTTCTGGCAAAATTATGAACAAACATTCTTCCAGTAGCTAACACTAGAACGTTCACTCAAAGTTGCCTGGTCTTTTTAAACAGGCCTACATGTATAAGGATATTATAAAACACAAAGACATCTGAAACATTTTGAAATAATTATGTTCGTCTGTGGTTTCGAAAAGCAACATTGCATTATATCTGCAAAATAATCAAATGAAACGTTCCCCTTAATGTTGTCTTTAAAGGTCATATTAAAAAAGAATGTTCAGGGAACATTCAAAACTAACATTTTCATAAATGGGAATGTATCAAGACTTCATATAGCCTAAAGAATGAGGTTTTTTGAAGTTCTTAAAAAAGTTCCTAACAAAAATGTTTTATATAAAAAATTCCTATGGTGACTTTTCTGCATGGTGAAGCAAAAATATAAAAATAGTGACCAAATCCAGAAAAAAATGCCAGATAATCTCCCCACACTATCAACAAACCTGGGTATCAATTTTTCAACGCTTGTCTCAGTCCTAGCAATAATGTAGGAGACCGTTATACTTAAATAGTAGTTAAATAATTATGTAGTAAATAAGTATATACACTAGGCTATATTTACATAAATATTACATTAAATTATGTTTATTTACCTGGAGGACGATATAAAATATTTTAGACAAATGTAGGCCCTAGCTATAATTATAAATACATAGCTGTCTCTTTATTCTGTTCATTTTTAATTATTTTTAACTTTAACTAACCTAAATAACCTCCAAGTCTAAAAGTTTGTTGTGATTGCCAAGTGCGCGAAGGTGGGGCAGTAGGCTAAGCAGCATCCCTAAATGAAGAACACAGCACAGGGAGGCGCTCTAGCACAGGTTTTCTGACGGCAGTACGCAGTGCGCGAGCGCGGCTCTGACAGCCAACATCAACCTAAATCCCGTATCTGCTGGTGTGGACCAATAGCACAGCTTCACAGTTCCCAGCATCCCCAGACCACTGGAGCACATACAGAGACCTCCGACAAGACGTGAAGGTTGTTTTGTTTGATTAAAAGCCTATTATTCCATTGGAATTTAGGCTTCCTGACAATCTTAATATTCAATCTTTTTCTTGGGGTGGCTGATTTTGCATCTCCTTGATGCGCAGTTTATCAAGGATAAACCCAGATAGCCATTACTGCGGCTCTTGTTTTGCCAAAGCATCGTGGAGGAGAGCAGATGTCTGTAAGTGAGCTGTTTTTCATCGAAGCTTCTGTATTCATAGATGTTATATTTGCTTGATTGTTGGTCGTATTTTAAATACATTACTGTATTCTTATGGGAATTGTAAGCTGACTTGGTCAACATTTATTTTGTTGATTTATCTGTCTTTCTATATTCTAATTTTGTTGACGTGATGATGAAAACGAGTGTCAGTAATCTCTCGTGCTCATGTAAACATCACAGGGAGGATCACACATTTTCAGAACCTTGGACAGTGGCCGACATATTTGAGCAACGTACAAATACATTATAGTAGCAAAACAGATGGGTTTTTTGTGTGTGTGTGTGTGTGTGTTTTGTTAAATCATCTACAAACATGCATTGAATGAGAATGAGGAATGAGAATATTAAATGTACTATTAAATGCAAATTTACGAGGATACAATGGAGTCAGTATTTACAAGAGGGCAGTAAACAGTGGAATCTGCAATCATGGCGATGTCTTTATTTATGTTCATTGGCGGGTTTGAGTTTGCTGTGTAATTTCTTTATAAACGTGGGTTGTAAATTATGATATTGTAAGTGTGGTAGATCTACACAACAAATCAATTGTTTATATTGTAGGAAACCGTGCAGTTTAAAAATAATGATTTGATTATTATTGTGAGTGCATGTCAAGGAATAAAGAATCTATGCCTCTTACTTAAATCTATGACACAATACCTTTATAAGGCCTGTTTTCAACATAAAAAAACAGTAGAGTGCTATAGTCAAATTTAAACCACCAAGAAATATAAAAAGCAATTTTAAGTTTGCATGTGTAGAACAGGTTACATGAATATCAATAATATATGGACATTTTTGACTTAAGATAATTATTATAATTATTTGACACCTGAGAAAAACCCATTGTCAAATCATCTTGGATATAGCATTAATAATTTAAGATTATTTTAATGAAAACAAAATGCCTAATTGCCAGGCAAGCATGCAGTATTATGTTGTTAGGGCACTACTACAGGTATAACCCTTTATTTGTGTTGATGAAAAAATGGATAAATTGACTCAAATTTAACATAACAAAGACAAGAAATATAAAAAGGCAACAATTAGATTTATATCATGAAGATAAAATTTACAGGTATTATATTATAAAGCATCTTTTATTCTGAAGAGACTATATTTTGCACAATTGTACTGCATACACTGTGCGTTCTGCAGTATGAAAAGTCTGTGATGCTAATCAAAATACACACTTATATCATTGCTATATTAAAAGGACTGTATTAAAAAGTATATATTAAAATGTGTCAGGAAAGCACCAATTTGATTAAAAAAAAATTTTTTTTTAAAGTATATGTATTTATACATGCCTTTTTTGTTTTACAGGCTTTGCAGTGACACAGCTCTCATCTATCCCATTGTCATTCTTCTTTAAATAGAGCACCAACCTAAATTTGGATGTCTAATACAGATTGAACTAGTCTCAGGAAGCAGTGGGGCTCCAGTTTGGCACCTTCTTTAGCTGACCCCTAACCTTGAGATTCTGATAACCTGCTCCCAGCATCATGGGAACCGTGCTATCACTTTCACCCAGCTACCGGAAGGCCGCCCTGTTTGAGGATGGCCCGGCCACCGTGGGCCACTACATGGCGGTTCAGAACAGCAAGAACGCCAAGGACAAGAACCTAAAGCGGCACCCACTCATCAACGTTCTGCCATGGAAACGAATAGTAGCCGTCTCAGCTAAGAAAAAGGGGTCTAAGAAGGTGCAGCCTAATACCGGCTACCAGAACAATGTTTCTCACCTCAACAATGAGAACCTCAAGAAGTCACAGTCTTGTGCAAATCTCTCCTCCTTTACACAGGACCAGTCGAGTCCATCAAACCAAGGCTCCAAAAACTCCAACAACACAGCTTCCTCGGTCAAGAAGGCGCCTCTTTCCAACTCCAACGTTGCTCCCGGGACACCCAAGAGGGTGATCGTCCAAGCCTCCACCAGTGAGTTGCTGCGCTGTTTGGGAGAGTTCCTCTGCCGGAGGTGCTACCGACTCAAGCACCTTTCTCCCACCGACCCAGTGCTGTGGCTCCGTAGTGTGGATCGTTCTCTGCTGCTCCAGGGCTGGCAGGACCAGGGCTTCATCACTCCAGCCAACGTGGTTTTCGTCTACATGCTCTGCCGCGACGTGGTCTCCTCTGAAGTGGCTACGGAGCACGAGCTGCAGGCCGTGCTGCTGACCTGCCTCTACCTGTCTTACTCTTACATGGGCAATGAAATCTCATACCCTCTCAAGCCATTCCTGGTGGAGACCTCCAAAGAGACATTCTGGGACCGCTGCCTGTCCATCATCAACATGATGAGTGCCAAGATGCTGCAGATCAACTCGGATCCTCACTATTTCACCCAGGTCTTTGCAGACCTCAAAAACGAGAGCCAGAAGGAGGAGGAGAGGAGTCGTCTGCTCATCAGCCTGGACCGGTGAGGGGGCTCTGGAGATGTCTTTGGTGTCACTCTCGTCTGGCATTTTTTTCCAGGGGTAGTTCAGCCAAAAATGAAAATTCTGAGAAATCTATTCACCCTGATGTTATTCCAAACCTCTATGCCCTTTGGAATACAGAAGAAGACATTTTTAAAAATGTCTCAGTGTTTCTTAGTCCAGAAACAATGGGGTCCAACAGGGTTGTTTTGGACCCCATTGACTCTCATTGTAGACTCTTAAAAATAAAGGTTCCAAGAGCAGATCTTCGCAGCGATACCATTAAAGAACCATTTTTAGTTCTTTCAATTCTTAAAGAACAATTTCTATTAGTATAAAGAACATTTTAAACATCTAAAGACCTCTTTTCCACTATAAAGAACTTTTTGGAGAATGGAAAGTTTCTATGGATGTTGAAGGTTCTTCATGGAAGAATAGCTACCAATAAAGAACCTTTATTTTTAAAGCGAAAACAGTATCTCCTTTTGTCTCTTCTTCTTTTAGAGGGTGAGTAAATAACAAAATTTTCGGTTTTGGGTGAACTATCCATTTATGTAGCTCCTACATGGGTGGAATAAATAATGAGATGTCTTTCAGTGTATTATTCACATTCATACATTTTATAGGAAGCAATGGGTGATGCTAATGTTGTTCAAAAGGAGCAGTGGGTCTTTCATTACCTTTAGCAATGGCAATTTTGGACCTGAATATAAAGAAATGCCAGACTTGAGTGGACCAAATGCTCTTAAGTAGAGAATATTTAAAAGCACTGACAGAAAATACTTCAAAAGACACAACGAGACAAAAAGAACACAACTTTGAATGTGGACAGGAATCCAGCTGTTGTCAAGCTGACTTCTGGACACTTTGCACCAAGATCCTTGCCACCACTCTCAATAGAAATGGAGACTGATTCATAATCAACAGACACTTGTTCTCCTGTGTCCATGAAACCAGACACTCACTGAATGCTAAACACCTTGATGTTGCAAATTCTGTTACAGCCAATTGCAAAAAGGGAAGAGGTGCGTCTGAGCGTCAGGTTGAACGTGTTTATGTTCACAAGCCACACACAAAGAATAAAGGGAAATGACTTTGAGGCCAGCATTGAAAGGAGAGGTTGTCAGCACATTTGTAAGAAAGACCTACTCTATTTTCATCCATGATACAGAGTTAAACAGATCTCTCCTGTGGTTTACGTAATTTTTTTAAAACAACTGTATTCATCTGAATGCACACTCAAGCCGGATGATGTACTTTGAGTTTTTTTAAGCCGACTGCATATGTGTTTAGGGAATGAAATATGAAAAAAAAAAAAAATCAAGTTAAAATAGTTTATCTTGCTATGCCTGCTTCAATGAGCCATTGTTTTGTCATTTTGTTTTGCACTAGTTTCAGCAGGGGGCTCTGTACAGAAAAGCCTGTAAATGTATCAAAAACAGTGCCATACCTTTGATGAAAATCATGTAGGTCTAAAAACATACCAAAGGCCGGCAAACTTTGGAACGGTAGGATTGTCATTAATAAGTATCTATCGGAATCGTAATTTATTGTTATTTATTAATTATTTTCACACATTTCTCTCTTGCATTTAGAGATTTTAGTAATGTGTTGTTAAAAAAAAACAGTGCAGCATTTAGATCGATGGCTACCTTTTGGTGGGAATGAAGATTACGGTTAATGCACATTTGCATTCGAATGAATTATTCAAGGCGATAACGTCTATTCTAACAGACCATTTTCAGATCTGAGAAACACCAAGGTAATTCATCATAGTGACAGACTATCGGTTTCAATCAAAATGAAATACCTGAAACCAATTTCTCTGTGAAGTACTGTTGGGATGTTCTACATATTAGCACTGCAAAAGCAATCATGAGTGATTAACCCATGACAACACAGACGATAACAAGCTCCAGGCATTAAACTGGATGAGATGTGGTCTATTTCTGGAGATGAGCAGCGATTTCTATCACATTTACATAGAGGAATGGTTTTTGAAGTACCAGACAATATTACAAACTTACATTTACAGCCACATTGATGACATCAATCAAACTGGATCTGGGTTATCAAGGGAAAATGTGTGTTATATGATCTATTTGCCCGCTTTAAAACATCTCAACAGTGCTAAATTGTGCATGCTTTCTTTCAGTAGTTATGTATCTCTTTCTTTGTAGTCAAAAAAAAAAAAGAATGTGACAGTCATATAAGCAAACATTATTATGTCTCTGTTAATTCATGCAAAAGCCTGTTCTTCTCATGATATGAAAGTGGGATGGATGGATTCCATGTGACTGCTTGCCCTGCTGCATTGCTTTAAGTGACTAAAGGTCGAGGAAGCCAATAATTTACTCAAAAACGTGCCAGGGGAGGTTTGGATACGGGACTTGCACTTTTCTGTGAGCGATTTGTCTGAGGAGACCGCAGGGGTTTGAGGTTGTGGGGGCTAAAGTAGGTGAGCCCTTCTTCACCGCTTGCCTGCTATTATTTGCCCCCAGCCCACAACAATGTGCCATTTTTTCACTTGCATCACAGAGTAGTCCTTTGAAACAAAGAAAAACACATAAAAAAACGATAAGTAAAAGACTAAACTCCTGTCAAACTCTCTCTGTATCTGTTGCGTAATTCTTTGTAGAACTGAAAACAGTGTTACAAAAAAGGATTGCATGAGTGTGCGAGCGCGAACGAGTGTATTTGTATAGAAGAATGTGATGTGTGTAAGTTGATTTTCTAGGATCAGAGCATGGCCATGCTTATTAGAGGGTAGGACTCTATAGTATCGGGCTAGAGTTTGACAGGCGGGTGGGAGGGAGGGAGGGGTTACGGATCTGTTACGGATCTGTTACGGTTTTGTTCTTTTAAAAAAGACGCAAATCTGTTGCTGTAACTTTTTGCATTTTGTTCCTGCTTATTTTTATTTATTTTTGTACTGTGATGACAAATAAACTGATGCACTGATAATTAAAGATACACCACGGTGTGGTTGTTTCAGAAAGGTTTTAGCTGACCTCACCTAAAGAACACTATAATTCTCAGCTGGACTGTCCAAATTGTATCTAGTCACATTTGGGTGCAGGGCTGTTACATAAGCAGATTAGCAACAAGAAAACTTATATTTTTCCAATTATGTGGTCTCGCATTATCACAGATCGGTTTGTTTAGGATAATGGTAGCTTGTTAAACAATAACATTTTCCTATTATAACTTATACCACTGAAACTAATAAATGATTTGCAGTAAAAACATTCTATTTTAAAATATTTGCAAGCTTAAGAGGAGAGTGTCAATCTTCCCAAACTACACTATTGAGCATACATTTAGGGCAAGTGGCAAGGCCAGAAATCTCTAATTAGCCAATGTGGGTGGATCTTTGTGAAATAGGGTGGACCTTTAATTGGTGTCTCTATCAAATTATATAATAATTATCTATCTAAAATCTCGTATCAAGTTATACATAATTATATGTGGGTTTTTGAATGAATAAACACTCCTAAGTAATGACAGCAGTTGAAAAGATATTTCTAGAAGAATAAAAAGAGTAGCCTTACTAATTTATAATATGAAATGCCATGTAGGGACTCGCTAAACCTTTTTAGAATATGTTCATTTACAAATTCACCAGAATGAATCAGTTTTCAACGATACACGTCAAATGGGACTGAATTGTTTTTTAAAAAGCTGTATGTGAGAGAGGGTTGTTTAGGACGAACTTTCCAAAGCTACATATAAGAAACCGATTCAATAGAATGAATTGGACTTTTTAAAGCGTCAAATGAGAGAGTCGTTTCAGACAAACCGATTCACTCGAATGAATCGAACTTTTCAATATGAAAAGACGAACCAATTCGCTAAAATGAATTCACTAGAATTACCAGCGATAGGCTACTTACATGTGAGCCGATAGTGAGGATGTTTACCTCAACTCCTTCGGCAATAAGATAATAT